TTCAGAACTCATATCAAATATTTAATTTTAAAATATATATATTAAAATATATATTTAAAACTACCAATAGCCCACTTATTAAAAAATAGGTGGAAGACTTTAGATATTTTTCAAAGAAAACACACAAATGGCCAATAGGCTCATAAATGGACTAGCATTATTCATCATCACAGGAAAGCAAATCAAGACTACAATGAAATACCGCGTCACATCTATTAGGATGGCTATTATCAAAAGTCAAAAGATAACAAGTGCTATTAGCCATGTGGAGAAATAGGAAACCTTATAATTGTTGGTGGGAAGGTAAATTAACACATCATGGAAAATAAACATAGAAGTTACTCAAGACACTAAAAATAGAAACAAGATATGATCCAGGAAACCTACTTCTAGGAGTATGTCCAAAAGGAAACGAAATTAGCACCTCATGAAGATATCTGCACTCCCAAGATCATCGAAAAATCAGCCACAATAGCCAAGACATGGAAACAACCTATCAGTTAACAGATAAAGCAAACTGCTATTACATGTGTATATTACATACAAGTCATGAAATATTATTCAGACCCAGAAAGACAAATGCTGCCCAATTTCACTGATATGTGGATTTTGAAAAATCAAACTCATAAATGCTGAGTAGAATTGAGGTTAACAGATCAAGGGTAAGGTAACAGACAAATAATGATAAAGGATTACAATGTGACTGTAATTAATGATTTATAATGTACTTGTAATATTTACACATTCACCATGGTCACACAAATGGTAACCATGTGAGGGTATTGTGGATGTCTTCACAGTATATAGGAATGTCAAAAGATTGCATTATATACCTCAAAGACATATAGTTTTGTCATAGATAATGATGATTCATCTACTTAGTTGGTTTAAGAAGTGCCTGGGAAATTAGTAAAGCACACTTCTAAGAATGAATGTGAAGCCATTTCCGGAGAAAATATACCCTCCACAGGGATAGCATCACGTCTTCAGGTCCTCAGCCCAGTTGGAATCAAAGGGAATGAAAGAGAAAGCTGGCTAACAGGGCATACTCAAATATTCATGCCCATTCATTCTCTCTCCCTCCCTTCCTCCTTATGGGTCACCATAATATCAATTTCTCTGGCACCATGCTACCAATTAGTCTGCTCTGCCATACTCTCTACACATAAAGGGCCAAGTCTCCTGAAACCATGAGCTAAAATAAGTCTGTTCTTTTCTATTAAGTTGTGAATTCAAGTAATCTATAGCAGCAATGAAAAAGTAATAAATACAAAATTCTATTGTCTTTATACCTCAATAAAACTAGAAAAATTCTTCCCAGTTTAAAAAATTGAGGTAATGCCCAAATAAGAATAATTTCAGTTTGTAATTTTCATATTCCTTTCTAAATTACCTGACATTGGGCTATAAATACTTTCAAATATGGATTGGATTATGATATGCTTTTTAAAGCAACTACTATTAAGTGCAGTAAGATCCCTGAATTTAGTTGTCACAAATAACAATTTGTACTAAATCTGCTACATGAAGTCTCCTCCAGATTCAACCTGACACATCTTTACCATTGCTCTGTTCCTTTTTGTAGTAACCATACTGCTGCAGTGAAAATCCTAAACAAGCTGTTGAAAGCCTAGCATAGGCTCACATCTGTAATCTACCACTCTAGAGGCAGAGGCAGGAGGATTATGGAGAGTTCATTGCCAACCTGGGCTGCATAGTAAATTCCAGGCCACACTGGTTTACAGTGTAAACTTTGTCTCAAAAACAAAGCCAAAAAGTTGTTATACATGCTTTAAAAAAAAAAAAAGGAAATAAATAGCCAGTAGTGGCACACACCTTTAATCCAGAAGCAGGCAGACTTCTGTGAGTTCAAAGCCAGCCTGATCTACAAATTGAGTCCCTGAACAGCCAAGACTGTTCCACAGAGAAACCCTGTCTCAAAAAAAGAAAACAAATTTAAAAAGAAAGAAAAAAAACAAATGCCACACAATGCTTATTTGTTCTTTGGATGCATGTTTACACTTAAGAATTATCTTGGTTTTTTTATTCTGTAGTTTGATAGTAATTTGAGAGCATTCTTTAACTCTCCTTTGCCACACATTTCCTGTCGGTAACGTTGCTGTTTATAAAATGGTTTGGAATAAGGCTCACATTTCCAGAAGTCCAACCCAAGTCCTATTAAAGAGAGGCGGCATGTGTGTCTATTTGTAGGATGTCACTATTTGCTAAGATCGAGTACTGCCGGCCTCTAAGTTTTTGGTTATTGAGTTACTTAGGCTCAACTTAACCACTAAGCTTTGACAAAGGTATTTCCGGTATATGATCTCTACATACTACTTTTTGAAATTCTCTGTTTCTTAGTTGCCCAGACCTAAACTGCATTCCTTTAAGTAGTAAGTCCTGGTGAATAAGCGATCTATCTCTCTGTGAGTTTTCAAATGCCTGTGCAACTAAAGTGTCTCAGGTCACATATACTGATAAAAACAACACTCAGCAAGCCACTAAGCAGAATTTCTTACTTTACTATTGAGTCAGTGAAACTAGATCATGAAAGGGATAGAAATCTTATTAAGACATGGCCCTAGCCCCTCCTCAGTCCTCAACCAGGCACACGGAAGGGCTGCGAATTGAAACGTGGGCCTCTGTGCCCTACACACCGTGAATGTGTAAGTGGAGAACAGCACAATGCTGATAGTCAGGAGACCCATCTTGCCACTAGAGAACAAGGTCTTTCACCCACTGGCCTTCGCTACTTCCGTCAGTGAGATATTTGAATGATTTAATGATTCACACATTCTATCTTCTAAGTTACAACAGTCAAGTCATTTTCTTTCGAGTCCTTAGCCTGTTCAGTCTCTTCCAGTCACTTGTTTCTGCCCCCTGGATCTTATAGATTGGTTCCTATGGTTACTTAAATCTGAAGATCCCCTTAACTTCCCTGCTAGCTTCCGGTTCCTAATTTTCAAGTTCCGCCCAACTCTCTGGGAGCTCACTTTGTTCTTCATTGTTCCTTGTCTCTTTTTGCACTAGTCTTACCTTGGTTTGAGACAGGTAGTTCCCACTCCATTCCACAGAGCTGTCTTGCTTGTCTGATGTCTTCAATCCTTGCTACCCCCACACATAGTCCCCCAGTCCCCCCAGACTGCCTCATTTTAGGAAGTGAGGAATGTACTCCTTTCTGTCTGATGCCAGCATCAAACAGCTCTAAAATATAAGGCAGCTGAACTGAATTGAATTGACTGAACCTCTCTCTGAAAATCACCATATCCCAATCTGGGCTCCTGGCACTTATCTCCTGTCAGACATTAGCATCTCTACAACTCTTAAGGACAGTTTGTTTACTCTGGCCCTAGCCAGGCTAGGGAAATTTTCAAATCCTCTTATTGGAGATGACAGGGATGGGGGGTGGAGAGGGAGCCTGGCCACACTGCTCTTTGTGAGTTATAGTATTTTATAAGTGCCCCTGCCCTCTCCCCTCACAAATTCTTTTGTTAGAGAACGCTTGTGTCCAATCCTATGATTCAGCAATTTCCTCTTCTGGACCCTTTCACTTTGGGGCCGCAGCTGCCACAGACCCTTACGAAACAGAATCCACACAATAAAATGGCCAAGGAGATAGGTTTGCAAATTGGGAGTGCTAATCTCTCAAGAGAACGGAAGAAAAGGTTGGCTGGTCCCACGATTGCGCAAATGAGTGAATAGCGTAGTATACAAAGAGGTAAAAGGCCCTCATATGAAAGAACTCCGAGCAATGGCTTTCCATTCCCGGGCTTGGGGGGTGGGGGAGAGACACGCACTGAGTCAATGTCCTTTGATGTCCATCGATGAGTTTTAACCCCCTTTCAGAAAGCCAGGCTACAGAGGCTGGCAGCTGTGCGGGGGGGAGCTGGGAACGGCTAAGGACCGCCTGCAGAGTCTCAGTAGGCTCCAAACTATCTAGATTTGGGAATGGGAACCTCTCTCAACAGACAGACCTTGGCCAAGAAAATGAGAGCCACTGCACAGTCACTCTTGAGTTCTCGGGCTCAGATTAAGAGACCTAGTGAAGAATACCAAAGGGACAAGAGAAGGACAAATAGACAAAGTTTGGTGCCTAGCATTCCTCCCCTAGGGATGGGGTGGGGTGGATGGAGGTGGCAAGTCTTTCAGGGAGCTCCCTTGCACCCAGCCTGGCACTCACTTGGCCTCACTTCGTTCTGTCCAGAGCTCAGAAGCAGAGGTCGTTCTGTGCCC